CCCCGTTGCTTCCAGAAAAGCGCTTTTACATTTTTATTAGGTCACCAAAATCAGGACCTCAGTTTTCTCAACTCTCCAGTCAGAAACTAGAAATTTCAGTTTAGAACCAAGTTCCTGCCTTGATGACAATCCTAAGACTACTTTTGGGGGACAGAACGCAGCGTTTTCTGGAAAGCTCCCCTCCCTCCGCCTTCTCCACAGTGATATCTCGTTTACCCACAGCTTTGCCCTGCGCGTCCTCACAACAGAAAGAGCATGCTGGGTTTTGTTTCCTCTGGAAGCCCCCGAAAGCATGGAGAGATGGGGGGCTGGTGCAGCGCCCCCCAAAATGGCTTGAGCCCGTGCTCCTGTCTCCTACCCAGAGCGCCCCGGGGGCCGAGCGCGTTCACCTGGAAGCCAGTGTAGAAACCAGCGTCCTGGCTGGGGCGTGGGGTGGATGAGGGGGGTTGTTCGCGCTTTCCAGAACCCACTCCTGTGCTGGGAAGGTGCAGGAGCTCACACACCACCTGCCTGTGTGCCCCCCACGACTCCGCCGCCAGCGAGCCCCGGGCCACTCCAGTCGGGCAGGCGGGCGCCAGCGCGGGGCAGCGCAGAGCATGCAGGGCCTGTGGGCTGGGTGATGCGCCACCTGCTCGCACAGAGACGAGTGTCTGGGAGCCGCAGGGGGCTGGAGACGCCCACGTTTCTGTTCTTTCCGGCAGCAGGAGGGGAGGGAGCGCAGCCTGTGTGGGGGCTGCCGCACCCACCACGCCCCCCACGCTCCCTGGCGGCAGGTGCCAGGGCTGTGGGCACGTTCTGGGCGGATCCGGGGCCGGTTCTAGTCGCTGTCGTGTCACACATGGGAGCAGTGTTCCCGCCAGGGGGTGTCCCGTACAACAGTGGCAGGACAGTTGCGGGGTCAGAGCTGCTGGGGTGGCTTCGCCTTAGTGGGTAGCATGTGACTCATTATGGCAGGCCCCCCCCGAAACAGAAGCTGGGGACCCTGCCAAGCACATTGCAGTTCTCCTGGGTACAAATGCCTCATAAGCTCACCCTGAATGGCCTCCAGCGGCACAGCCCCGGGTGTACCAGCGTCCTGGCCCTGGGCCTGGCAGCTCTCAGAGGGCTCCACCGTCTGTCCATCCTGTCTGTCTGTCTGTCCACTTGCTGGCGAGCTCCCTTGGAAGGTAAGCAGGCTGCAGTGCCCGAGACCAATGCATGAGTCCCCTGCACGCTGGACGCTCTGTTGCAGTTTTGCCAGCCCCAGGGCAGGAGCGGAGCCGGCACAGACACCCCCCAGAGGCAGTGACCTCCCCCCCAAGGCCAGGGACTGAGAGAGCCACCTCCACCCACCGCACGGGGGCCTCACCCAGGAGCCTTGGCCCTGCTGGTTCAGCTCAAGGCCTGTGAGCTGACCATCCCACACCCCCAGGACCCCCAGAGCTTCTGCCTCAAATGGAGTCAGCCCCCGCTCTCTTCCCATTCCGATGCCTCTCCGGCCCAGCCTTACCAGTCCCCCCAAAATTAAAACAATACCATACAACCAGTTATCCCACCTTGGAGTATTTACCCCAAAATAGAAATGCACTGAAGAGATACACGCACCCCGTCTTCACTAGAGCACTATTTACAATAACCAAGAACTGGATCCAACTTCAGCACCCACCAGCTGAGGAATGGATTAAGGAGATGTGAGGTGCAGACACGGTGGAATACTGTTCAGCCACAAAAAAGACAGTGCTCCCTCCCCATTTGCAGCAACATGGGTGGCCCTGGAGGGAATCCTGCTCTGTGAAATGAGCCTAATGGAGAAAAACAAACACCGCGTGATTTCCCTCATGTGTGGTGCAGCGGCAGGAAGGGCCCAGGGCAGGATCCCTGTGACCCGAGCATGGGGGACGGAGGAGAGAGGCCTGGAGCCCTCGGTGGCTTTTTAGGCTTTTATTGGGATTGACCAGGCATGCGGCAGGCAGGGGTGCTGGGGGTCGGGGGGCTGGCAGGCGTCCCAGGCCCCAGCGAGTCTTCACTCTGTCTGGGCTCTCCGGCCTTCTCTCGCCTTCTCTCAGCTTCTCTCGTGGTTCTCCTGGCGTCCCCGTGACGCCGCCCTTGTAAGCCCAGTCTCTCAGCCCAGGTGCACCCACTTACGCACGCCCACACCCCCCTCCAGGGGCCGCCATCAGACATGATTCAGGACCGCAGGGTCCATCATCCGTCCTCATGGCGGGAGGGCAGGAAAGCCTGATGCTTTTTATTTACCCTCCATATGGCACAGAGAAAAAACACGAGTGGATGAACTAAATAAAACAAAAATAACTTTGGGACTCTGAAGCCGATTCCTGGTTTCTGGGAAGACGGAGGGAAGGGAGGGTAATTGGGACAAAAGGGACATGGTGTGATAAAAATAGATTGGACGATTTCGTGATGAACTTGGGCAGCAGCTACACATTGATTCTCCGTGACCGACACCTGGAACTTACATAGTGAATTCGTGCCTTGCTGATTCATTTTTGCAGAAGGGGGATGAGTTTGCTCCTCGGGTGCCCACCCAGAGGCTGCAGGTGGAGATGTCTGGCGGGATGTCAGCAGCGACGAGGCTGGCGCGAGAATTCCCGCATCCCCACCTTCGGGGGGCCCTGAGGGACTGCGCCCCATCTGGGGGGTCCCTGCTGCCCATGTGACTGGGAGGTCCAGGTTCTGCTGAAGGAGAGCACCTCCAGCCACCCCTCCGCCCTGGCTCCAGGCGGCCCTGGCAGCAACCCAGGGCACAGCCACAGCCTTGCCACCCCCCCAACGCCACCCCACGGCTTCCGGCAGGCCCGGCCACACAGCTGGCGGGGGGGCTTCAAAATGCTGAAGGAAATCCTGGGGAGCAAATGAATGCAGCCGAGGAGATTTTTGGCACGGGAATCTTCACCTATACTTTCCGGAAAAATTCGGATGTGAAATGTTATGATTCAGGAACAAATTGCCCAAAATACTTTTGAGAAGAGCCTGTTTTCGCTGTAAAAGCACAGCAATAGCCACGACCCCGTGCAGCTAACGTCCTTGATCCCCTTGTAGGCCCCGCCTCGATCTGAACGCTTTGGGGGTCACCCTCAGGACCAGGGAACTCTCACCATCAGTGTGTATGGAACTTTTTCAAGTGTCCCCAGGCCCCAAACTTAGAAAATGATACCGAATAGAAATGTGCTGCTTTTGGGTAGAGGGGCGGGGGGCTCCCCATGTTTTTTACTTTCCCAGAGGAGCAGCGCTCGCGGCGTGTGGGATTTCACTCTGCCCACGGAGGGGCCCCCTTCCCGCCTTTCACTCTGTGCCAGGCCGGGGCCAGGACCGGCCAGGTCTGTCCTCAGCTTTGCCTTCCTGCTTTGCAGCGGGGAGTAGACCCCGAGCCTCGTGGTGGGGCGGCGGGAAGAGCCTCCTGCCGCGCGCGGCTGCTGCTGGGGCGTGAGGGTAGGGGAAGCAGATGGACCCATGTTGGCCATGAACTTCTGGTTAAAACCTGACCGAGAACTTGGAAAGCTGAGCGTCCCGTGCCCAGAGCGGGCAGGAAGCAGGGAGGGCCTGAGCCTCCTGCCTGTTGGGACACCCTGGCTGCCTGGAGTGACCCCACCAGGGCGGCACGCGGTCCTCCAGAGTCTCCCTGGTGGGGTCCCGGCCGCCTACACCGCGCCGGGCTTGCTTGGTCTCGCGCCCCTAGCGGCGGCCGCCTGTCATGTCCTGGCCAGGTCGCCTGCCGCGTGTGTCTGTGGGCGAGCCACACCACAGCAGCTCCTCAGCAAACTTGGGGTGAACTCGGGTCCCCTGCGGACGATTGGCCGAGGGCAGCCGCCAGCCGCCTTGTGGGGCATTGGCCGCTGCCGGGGGTTTCACTTTTGATAAAGCCCAGCCTGGCGTGAGCGGGCCAGCAGCACGTTTGCAGGGATGGCCTAACCCTTGGGGGCGTCTTTTGGATCTCTCGTGCTCTAGAACCTTCCGTGCCCACCCTAAGATGAGTCAGACTCTCCTGTCCAGTGTGCACCTGGTCACTGCAAGGGATGCAGCCTCTCCCAAGGCCCCTGCCCCTCGGGCTGTGCACCGGCCGCCCCGCGCCCCTGGCCTTCCTCCTCCACAGCTGTGGGTGAGCTGGTCGCATGACCACAGGAGATGTCCTTGCGGCTCCTTTGCCTGAATTCAAAAAGTCAGCTCTAGGGGCCTCCCTGGTGGTGCAGGGGCTAAAGTCTCAGCACTATCAAGCTGTCCGCAGCCTCTGCAGCCTGAGTTCCATCCTTGGCCAGGGAGGTACCCACAGGGCGCAGCAGACCTCTCCTGTCTCCCCGCTGCTCCCCTCAGCAGTGTGTTTCAGTCAGTCTGCCTGTTCTGCTCCCCGCTCTGTCTCTGGTGAATCCTCTCACCCCCGAGCCTCTGGCCTGCACCCCAGCTCCTCTGTGCATAAATAAATTTTAAAAATCCTTTTAAAAAGCCAACTTTAAAATGCCAGTACACACAGATACGCGTCTGCACACACGTCGTCTTGTCATCAGAGGGGAGCTGACAGTCCCGTCTCGGGTGCCCGTGGCGGCCTCAGCGTGGGCGCCCACAGCGGGACATGTCGGCCCGAGGCCCAGCCCTGTCCTCGCCGCGCTGCAGCGCCCTTCGTCCCTGTTATTTCATCAACAAAGTACAATGGGAGAAAAGCTACCCTTGCAGCCTCCTTGGTGGAGAGCAGGCGGTGAGGAGGGTATTTGCCTGAAGGCCTGGGTGCAGCTCCTTCCCTGCAGCCAGCCCTGCCAGCCGCCCCGGGGAGCGTGGTCTCCGGCATCCTGCGAGGAGCAAGCGCAGGGGACCCGGTGTCTGCCCTGCCCCCCTCCCTCGTCCACCGGCTCCTCCGCCCGCCTGGGAGCAAGCCGGTCATCATGTCTCTCCAGGCCAGGGCATCCCGTGGACTCGACATGGGGTGCCCCAAGCTCAGGCCGCTGAGGAGGGTGGGGACCAGGCTTCCTCCTGGGGTTCTAACTTGGATTTTCCCTCTTGCTTTCACGTAGGGGCGGATCTGCAGAAAAGCCGGCAAGTCAAAAAAGTCCTTCAGTCGCAAGGAAGCCGAAGCGACCTTCAAGAGCCTGGTGAAGACCCACGAGAAGTACGGCTGGGTGACCCCGCCCGTGTCCGACGGCTGATGTCCCCGCGCGAGCCTCCCCAGGGGCCGCTCGCCCACACGCGCCACCCCTCCTCCTCCACGCTCAGCACCCCCGTCCTTGTCCACGCAGCCGGAACTGAATCCCGAACGCCAAGGAGAGGCTTAAGTTATTTATGAACAGACGTACTCACGGCGAGCTCCAGGGAGCGGGCGTTCGGGATCAGGTTGCCATCATAAACCATCGTCTCAGAGTCACTTTAGGACAATGTCGCGACGGTGACCCCGCCCGCCCGCCCCCCCTGCTGCTCCCCGACAGCTGCCCCCACGGGCGGCCCCCGCGCTGCGCGACCAGCCTCCTGCCGCCGCCACGGCGCGGGGCTCCACCGCCGGCCCTGTCTGCGTGCCGTCTGCTCCCCCGGCAGGTCCGTGTCACCTGAGCCGTGTATTCCGTGGTCCCGCGTGACGACCTTTTGACCTCACTTGTGCTAGGACCTTGGCTCTCAAAACAGAAATGCGATGTCGCCGGGTTCGGGATTCCCCACCCACCGGGTGGGCCGTGCCCGTCGGCCGGGGTGGCGGCGTGCGGCGTCCCGAAGCCACTGCCCTTGGAGCAAAGGCAGCAGGGACTGTGGCCCCCAGGGCGCCCCGGGGGCTGGGCCGCATGGACAGCTGCCCCGTGGCGGACGGGCCTCCCGGCAGGGCCCCCACCCCCACCCCCCGTCCTCCCGTGCTGGTCAACCCACCATCAGAAGCAAAGACGTGTCCCTCACCGACGCCATCGGCCTCATCCGCTCTGTGCTCATGTCAGGGAATGCCAGACTGCCAAAGGACCCCACGTGATGTGCGATGGTTTGCATGACCGGTCTGTTCCTCGTCCGTAGTCTCTCGTGTGCCCGCGGCCGGTGCCCGCGCACCCTCGCTGCGATCGAGACCTCCCGGTATTTAATCTCCCCGCTGTTTCATTTTCTCTTCTGTTAAGTGACTTAGAACTTTCTAAGAAACCCCATGAAGTGAGGAAATACTGTTTATAATACTATGCGGAAAGCGGTCAATGGTTCATCCCAAGTGGAAAATCTTATTGGACGCATTTTAAATAAAATCACGCATACCCGGCGCCTCCCGCGTGCAGTCATTGCAGGGGCACCCCCGGGCAGACCCCGGGCTAGAGGGATGGGAGCCAGGAGGCTAGAGGGATGGGAGCCAGGGGTCAGGAGGCAGCCAGAGGAGCCAGGGTATGCGCCAGGCCCAGGGGATGCTGGGGCCCCTCAGGGCCCCGGGGAGGCAGAGACACTAGTTCCCTTGTGAACGGAGGGTTTGGCCAACCTCGAATGTTGCCAATTACATTTTTCTGCTCTGCAGGAGGAGAAATCTTTGCTGATGCCATAAAGCCTGCAGGTGCTCCTGGCCACGGGAGGCGCAGGTGCTGGAGACCTGAGAGTCCTGGCCTCCGCAGCCCCCCGCCCCGCCCCAGCCACCAAATCATGGGTGACTGCTGCTCGTGTCCTTGTTTGCCTGCCGTTTCCTACGAGCTCCAGACACACACGGCCCTGGCGGCGCCCAGTGGGGGCCGGGGGACGCCTGTCCTCAGCCACGACCCTGCTGACGCGACACCAAGGCTGGTGGACCTCGGCTCTCGCTCACCTGACCCCCGCTCGGGCACCTGACGTGGGGCGGGGGGACTCGGCCCTGGGGCTCTGGTTCTTGGAGTCGGGGACAGAAAGAGCTGCTGGGGCAGCACCTGGTCGGTTTCTGTCCAGATTTGTTTCTCTTCTGATAAGAAGTTGAACGCCACTTGATCGGAGGAGGCCTGTGTGCACTTGGGTAAGTGTGAGCATCCACTGCTGGGCCGCTCCAGGGCTGGGGACCAGCTGGTCAGGCGCTCGTCCTCGTGGGCTGAGGCACACCCCCTGGCACAGCGAGAGGGGGTGACACCCTGGGTGAGGGGCGCAGTCCACAGCCAGGTGGCCGGAGGGGGCGCGTGGCCCCCGCTTAGCCTCCCCACACCCAAATACCATGTCTTCTACGTGGCTTTTTCGTCCGGTCTGCTGGAAACTGGAAGTTGTAGAGGAGAAGCAGTCCTTTGTGAATGAACTGCCATGTTTCACTTAAACTGGCAGGAATTTCAAAATGTAAAATCAATGGGGAGTCATTTCCACCTCACTGTTGCATGGCTCTTACTCGGAAGCCAGAGCCCCTTCTCTGGTGGCTGCAGGCATCCCTGGCAGAGCTGGCACCGACGGCCAAACAGTGGACCAGGCCGTGGACATGGCCACTGGCCCCAGAGTGGGTGCTGGCCCCGGAGCGGGCCCGCCTGCCACCAGCATCCCCCACCAGCAGACACCAGCCTCCAGGCCCGCGTGGCCAGCAGGCATCCCACACAGGCTGGGAGGCCCGTCCTCTCGAGATACTGCCTCGTGCCCACCATCGGCAGGAACTCTAGAAGCCCAGAGGAGTAAGAGCCAGACACCCCTGCCTGGTCCCCTTGAACACAAAGCCCCCCAACCCTGGCGGCCTCCCTGTCCACAGCTGGTTCTTGGCTGTGCACCAGGCTGTGGGCAGACATGGAGGGCGTGCTGGCCAGCTTCCTGCACAACAAGAATCGCCCAGGCCTTGGGGAGTCCTGGGCGAGCTGCAAGGCTATCGCCCCGTACACATGTGCACATGTGTGTGCACACAAGCGCTACATGCATGCACAGATGAACACCATGCACACACGTGCACACATAGGGTCACACACCCAAACACTCTGCATGCACACACCTGGGACACACACCTGGGGCACACATATTCCCTCACAATCTCTAAAATCTATTTTACTCAGAAAAAAACATGGCTTTTTGGCCCAAATTTCTCAGCCCCCATGTTCACTCCATCTATCAAAATCCACCCTTAGGTTCTGAGAGGGAAACTGCACTCACGGGAAAGCCCCGACAGACATGCCCACGTCTGGTCCCTAGGGGTCTCTGCAGCTGCGGGGCTCAGCGTCGAGGCTGTAAGCGCCCCCCGCGGCCTGGGGCTGGTGGAAACGGGCCAGTGCTTGGAGTCGAGCTGGTGCCGTGGACGTGGCCTCTGACATGGGACCACGATGGAGGGCCCAGGCCCGGCCGCACAAGCACGCTGTTGGGGCACAGCTGCCCCACCCCCCTCTGCTCCGCCCGACCCCTGTTGAGTCAGCGGCACATACGTATCGACCGTCTCTGCACCCCCGACGTTCTCCCCGAGCTGGAGGGAACATGGGTGTTGCAGACACGTGTCCTTCCTGCGGGAAGCACAGGATGGCGGCCCTGCCTGAAGCCCATCTGAGGTTGAGGACTGAGCAGTGCGGGGTCTCCTGGCTGATAACCAGGGAGGACGTCGTGGAGCAGCTCCGGAGCCACGGTGGGGCGAGAGGAAGGACAGGGGTGGGAAGGGGAGGCGGAGGGCGCCCTCAGAGAGCGCGTGGTCCCCACGGAGGACATGGCCTCCGTCCACACTGACCAGGAGGGACCTGGGCAGCACCTGCCACTTCTCCCCCTGGCGAACCCTGTGTGGAGTCCTGGTTTCAGCAGCAGGGTGCCGTCCGCCCGGCGGCCTCCCGTGGTGCGGGCCCCCGTCCCGAGGGGTGCTCCCCGCTGTCTCACCTGGGCCTCTGGCGCCAGCCCATGGCCACGGTTCACTTCCTGAAGGGCAGGGAGGCCACGGGGCCGCTCCTCTGCCGTGGGGAGGCGGCAGAGTGGCCTTTCCAAGGTGCCGGGAGGGGCGCCGGCAAGGCCCCGCTCAGTGGGGCTTTCTCATGCTCACGATTCTCCCTGGGGACCATCGGCTGCTCCCACGGCCACATACCAGCTCTGCACCCCAGCCCCACGGGCTCAACAGGCCACGGGGCTCCCAGGTGGGCCCCGGCGATGGAAGCACGTTGGTGCAGAGAGCAGTTTCCGCGCTTGCTTTGGGGATGTCAGAGGGGCTCGGGGCTCGGCTCCCGGGTCATGGTCAAGACGTTCTTCCTCCGAACACGTTACCCTAACAGTGCACCCCTCGGCTTTAGGGTTCTTCCTTCTCACCTTTACACCCTCCAGTTCTCAAATGATGAGTATCCAGCAACCCCAGCGCCCAGCTGACCCCCGGGACAAGGCACACGAGCTGGAAAGCTGTTGGTGGCAGGGACGGCAGGAGCGATGTCCGCTCGGCCCCGGTCTCACGGGGCAGGCGCCGGCCGCAGTCCAGACACGCAGTCCTCGGGAAGCAGGTTTTGTTTCAAGGCCGGGGAGGGACAGAGCAGCGTGGGTTGAGGGGAGAGGGTCCGGCTCTTGGTCAGGGAGAAAGCAAATACCTGCACCTGCTCCCCACTGCCACGCACCTGTTCCTCATGCAGAGTTGAAACAAGGAGGTGGCCTCTCAGGCCTCCCCTGGAAGCGAATTCAGGGCTGCCCTGCTCTGAGGCACAAAACCACTTTCTACCTCTAGGTCTGCAGTAGTCGCTGGAGGAGACGCCGAGGGAGCGACAACAGACATTGGTGGTGGTTTCACCTCCGGGGCCGCTCTGCCTGGGACTGCACCCCAGGGTCACCCAGACACAGGAGCACAGGTCACTTGTCAACTGATCTACACCCAGAGGCGCTGCTGAGCCTCCACACCGTCTCACCGCTCACGCAGGTCCACTCTCCCCAGCGCCGTCCACCGCCAGGACCCTTGAAGGAGGGGGTGGGACCTGCATGCCCCCAAAAAACAACAGGAGAGAAAGGGGCAGCTCTGGAAGAAGGGGATGCACGTGTGAGAGAAGGCAGGGCCCTGCCCGCGGGGAGGCAGTGATTCTAGGAGGCGAGGGGGCAAAACCAAGGAAGCTCTTCCATGGAGAGTTGGGGCGCCTGTGGCCTCTCGGACTCGGGAGCGTGATGCCGGCGTGGGAGGCGTCTGTCATGGGCTCCCTCCGTCTTCTGTGCTTGGCTCACTTTGGTTTGCCAAACAAACACCCCGAAGCACGTCCTGGATCGTCCCTGTGCGGATGGAGGAGATGGAACCAGCTGAATCTGATGGAGCATCAGTGTCATTTGGAAAACCTCTCTCTGGAAGCAGCTTTTCAGCTTTTATTTTAAACTGTTTATCAGAGGAATTTTCAACCCTCATACCAGTATTTAAGACATGTTCACAGCAAGAGCACGTTTTTCTTTTAAACTCTAAAGATGTGGCTATTTTAGTGCTGACGAGCGAGGCCTTCGCAGCCCAGCAGCTCTGACCGCCCTCCGCCTCTCACACG